ATATATATATATATATATATATATATATATATATATATATATATATATATATATTCTGCAAATTCAGTTAATTAATACTATATATATCTATATCTATATCTATATCTATATATATATATATATATATATATATATATTTATATATATATATATATATATATATATATATATATATATATATATATATCATTATGCAGCAGGGAAAATAATTCTTGAACATGTCATGTTTTTTCTTGGGAATAATATTTCTAAAGGCTTTTTTTAATGATTGCAGCTTAAAGACACCTCTCATATGGAGAATGAAGTCACATGCATTGTCAGGTGTGAGTTTTTCCACAGTCTTCAACAGGTTCTGTGGGTCTCAACTATCAAATCTGAGCTTTATTATTTTTATTTTCAATTGGATTCGAGTCAGGTGATTGGCTGGGCCATGATTTTCCTTCTCTAAGAGAATTTGAGAGTTTCCTTGGCTGTGTTCTGGATCATTGTCTTGCTGAAATGTCCACCCAGTTTTCATCTTCATCCTCCTGCTAATGTAGATGTTGGACTGAAGCAGCTGATAATCATTTACACTGAGAAAGAGCAGAGGCTTGCTGAAGAACTACTGAGAGATTTCAGCTGCTGTCTGGGATTTTACTGCCTTTCTACACCTCCTTTTCTTCATGTGTTCAATGCTTTTTTCCTGCGTCATTTCATTTTATTACTCATAATTTAAATAGTAAACTATTAATATTGTTTTCTTTGCATACATGGATTTCTTTGGTTGCTTTAAACATTCAATGAAAATTTGAAGTCAACGGCACCTTTACACATGTTTTCTGAGAAAAATGGTGACGTGTTCAATACTTATTTCCCCCTCTGTATTAGGATAAGAGATGACTTGTACCACATCTTCAATAAAAGTCTCCAAATGTTGAAAAACATGACACTTACTTTATATGATAGACATTTTGGACCAATATGTCCATACAGTGAGTTTTAAAAAGTCTTTGTTAAAAGCATAATAAATCAAAAACCAAACCAGCTATGAGCAGAATTGCAACCTTACATTGACCTAATACATACTAAGAGCACTCTAAGATCAAGTAAATAATTGAGGCTAATTACTATATAATGGTATGTTATCTCTATCACCCTCTCTGACAATCCCTGTATCCACAAAATATGAAGTGATTTGGATGTGTGTATTTTAGGGATGGGAAGATTAACCGATATGTATCGATACGCGGTCATGCGCGTGCACGATGCGAGTGCATCGGTTGAGCAGCAGAGGATGAATGAAATTTTGGAAGCAAATCGAGATGCATCGGTTTTTGCGAGATGCATCGGTTTTTCCGAGATACAGCTTATATTTTTAATATAGAATGTATTTTTTATTTATTAACAAGTGTTGTCAACCTGTTTTTGGCGCATAATTTAATCGACCTACATAAAGTAAGCCTTATCAACGGATTTGCGGATGTGTACACTTACACTACAACTCAGTGTATCAGGTACACAATGTGAAAACGATAGTGACCGGTTATGAAAATGAAGTGACGTGTCGCGGACCTCTATTCTGCCGCCCTATGCGCGGATATAACTGAGGACGCGCAGGTGTCGCGGACCTCTATTCTGCCGCCCTATGCGCGGATATAACTGAGGACGCGCGGGTGTCGCGGACCTCTATTCTTCCGCCCTATGCGCGGATATAACTGAGGACGCGCGGGTGTCGCGGACCTCTATTCTTCCGCCCTATAAGCGGATATAACTGAGGACGCGCGGGTGTCGTGGACCTCTATTCTTCCGCCCTATGCGCAGATATAACTGAGGACGCGCGGGTGTCGCGGACCTCTATTCTTCCGCCCTATGCGCGGATATAACTGAGGACGCGCGGGTGTCGCGGACCTCTATTCTGCTGCCCTATTCGCGGATATAACTTGGTGTTGCGGACGCCGCCCTCTCTATACTGCCGCACTAGGCGGGTTTAAACACCTCCTCCTGTTAATTTTTATTTAATTATAATAATAATAATATTATTATTAATAATGATAATGATAAAAATAATGGGTGTCACGGTGGCACAGTGGGTAGTTTGACCACCTCACAGCAAGAAGATTGCTGGTTTGTTATATTTTTATTAGCCTGTTGTTTACAGTGACAGTGATGTTTCAAAGCAACATAACACTGCTAGTTCACGACCTTAAGTTTTGAATATTCAGTGGCAAAATATATCTTTGTAAAACTTGTTTTCATAGTTGAAAAGTTAAATCACAATTCTTGTTGTGCAATGCTCAACCTTTATGTTGAAAGAGTGCAAATATATACATTTATCATATATATTGCACTTATACATTCTGTTTATCTTGAAAATACTTCAATAATATGTGCTATATTATCTAAAATGGCCCTCTACTGTAAACTGACACTCTGGCTCTGAGAGAAAAGCCAGTTTGTAAAAAAAGTCTTGGTTTTGCTTGGTTAATAAATAATCAAACTCATTCAATGGCACAGCATCCTCTTTTACATCAACTCATAAACTTGATTTAATTAGTTAGTGCTGAATTATCGCATTGTATCGTGATATGGGTGTGAATCGTATCGTGTCGCATCGCAATATGTCACAAATGTATCGCTAATATATCGGATCGTATTCTTTGTATCGAGATGCGTATCGGATCGGCATTATAGCTTAGATGCCCAACCCTAGTGTATTTATAGTTACCTGCATAGACTGCACTGTGTCCTGCTCAAATTTCTTGATGTCCTCTTTAACCAGAATCATCTGATCCTTCAGAAATGATGCCTCTTGTTTTAGAGCCTCAATATCTCTCAGTACACGCGGCATATTCTGCAGAGCCTGATTACTGCTCTCTACACACACACACAGAAACACAGCAAATCAGCATTATACCCTACTTGACAAAAGTCTTGTCATCGATCCTAGTTTTAAGAGCAACAAATAATGACTTGACTTCTAGTTGATCATTTGGAAAAGTGGCAGAAGGCAGACTTTTCTGATGAATCATCTGGTGAACTGCATCTTAATCATCACAAATACTGCAGAAAACCTACTGGAACCAGCATGGAGCCAAGATTGTCATAGAAATCAGTCAAGTTTGGTGAAGGAAAAATCATGGTTTGGGGTTACATTCAGTATGGGGGTGTGCGAGAGATCTGCAGAGTGGATGGCAACATCAACAGCCTGAGGTTGTAAAAAAGCAAAAAAGGTGCTCCAGGATTGGCCAGCCCAGTCACCAGACATGAACATTATTGAGCATGTCTGGGGTAAGATGAAGGAGGAGGCATTGAAGATGAATCCAAAGAGTCTTGATGAACTCTGGGAGTCCTGCAGGAACGCTTTCTTTGCCATTCCAGATGACTTTATTAATCAGTGATTTGAGTCATGTCAGAGATGTATGGATCCAGTCCTCCAAGCTCATGATGGAGTCAGACACAATATTCATTCTGTCTCCACTGCAGCAGGACTTTATATTCTATACTGGATGTTATTTCTGTTCAGTAACAAGTTTTTTATCTAAGCAAAGTTAGACCTTACCGTCCTAATGAAATCGTTCAAAATCAAGGCATGATCCTATTTTATTTTAAAATAAGGCCTTTGCCTTTCATATAAGCCACTTCTGATGCCAAATGATCAACTAGAAGTCAAATTATTATTAGTTGTTCCTATCGATAGTCAGGCTCGCTTCTGTTGGTGGCATCAATATGGCAACCTGTGCTTGTGTGTGTTTTGAAGCAGACATGCAATACCTTGTTCAACCACTTGCTGTCAAACATACATACTACACTTATGTTGCTTTAACACAATCTACATTGCAAATGTGGGTCCCACTTTATATTAAGTGTCCTTAACTACTATGTACTTACATTAAAAATAGATACAATGTACTTACTGTGTTTACAATGTATTTGAGAACACATGTGGTGCTTTTGAGTTGGGATAGAGGTTGGGTTATGTACAGGTTTGGTGGCATGGGTAGGTTTAAGGGTGGGTTAAGGTGTAAGGGATGGTCAGCAGTGTATTTACAAATGTAATTACAAAAGTTAATTACAGATGTAATTACATACATGTATTTAATCAAGCATAAGTACACAGTAAATACATGTATTTACACAATAAGTACATTGTAACAAACTATTAATTCCTGTGTAAGTACATATTAGTTAAGGCCACTTAATATAAAGTGGGACCTAAATGTGCAACAGAAATAAAACTGAGTTGAGTTAATAAGAGAGAAGTGTTCAAATCCTCACCCTCTATAGAGTTATTGACCTCCTGAATGAAGAGCTGCAGCTTCATGACCAGAG